AACTAAAAGTCCTTTGCATTATGCTGAGATCCGCTATAGGTACGGGTCCATTTGTTTCTTGCCGTTGTGGAGTATTGTAATAGCACTAGAGATACCGCCTAGACATTCTTAGTTCGTTCCGTCGTCAATCTGACATATCATTTTTACTGTGTTATTGAAATGACAGACAGCTTCGCTCAATTCTTGCAGGTTGCGTACTTTCATAGCTTCTATAGTTTTGCAAGATCTTAAGCGCTTTGAATATTGTCAAGGATTGGATCCGATCCCTGAAGCATTTCCTGTACCATAATTTGGAAGCAATGTAAAATTGAAGTAGTTGTAGTTTGTTTGCAAAAATCGAGTCTACTTATCCAAATCAACGTCAAAACCGACATGGTAAATGACACTGGAAGGAATTCTGCTTCGGCGCTGTAACGCCAGAACCGACCTCCAGATCCACCAATTAATCAGTTAATCAATCACTCGAAGTCTTGGTTTGCCTGGCTTTGTTCGCAATTATTATAACCGAGTAGCCAATAAGCAACTCAGGTAAGACTTCGCACAAGAAATAAAATTCAGAACAGGGATCCAGGCATAGCTCCCTCAACAGGAACGGCTAGCCGCGCTCGCCACATTCGATCACACGGTTCGGAAGTAGTTTAACTTTCAGTGAAAGGTTACGGTAAATGTCGCGAAACGCGGCTGCTTGCAGTGAGAATTCGAGTAGAAATATCGTCACACTATAAGCTTCACTTTTATAGTGGCCTCGAGAGGCAACGACGTAGATTCTCATAGGCAACGTATTTCATTCCGCGGCACGTCCTTAATGGGATCCCAAGATCTCTAACAAGTTATATATAAAACACATCGAAAAAAGATCTCAGGCAAGGGGATGAGGGGGTAGCCACGGGGCTGGGATTGCAGCACGAACACGTGCTCAGGCCAGGACCCACAGTTATATTACTGTAGGAAACGGGTTCCCGTACTGAATTTTTACATATTATACTTCAACTTGGGTGACTAGTGATTTTTGGCATTCTACCTCAATCATCCTTCTCCAGAAATCGGTGAACGATCCTATGGAGAAGTCCTTATAAATAAATGAATAAAATTATATACACATACAACATTTGCGACAGAACAATAAGTTTTCGCTGATGCGAAGCTAGAACCGATGGACATTCATGATTTTTCGCCATCGCTGCAAAGTCACATCTCATCGCTCTATAGGCAGAACACAGACATAATGGAAGCGACAGGGATAAAGAGTGCGAGCAGTTATTATAACTATGTAGGTATCGCCTCACTATGGACGGGGAGAAACGAGAGACGGAATTTTCCCCTATAATGTATAAAAGGAATTGTCCAGAGAGCGCTTCAACGTCTGACGAAATTTTCGGTATCCCGCATGAACTCCTTCATGAGCTCACACATCCTGAGTCAAAATATTGTCCAACACAATTCTTAGCATGACTCGTGTGTTCAGTAAAGGAAAGTATTTTCCCTTTCTTGCTTGTATTCACTAGCTCAATCTTACCTTCTGATCATGCCAACTACGGAGTGATATAAGTGGACGCGGCCTCATGAATTCGGCTGATTGTGTACCGGTGATGAATGGTTCCATCATGGAGGATCTGAGAGGGCCTCACGCTCGGGATGCAAGGTTGAGCTCGTCTTTTTCAATGGAAGCGCAAGGGTTCAGTTTCTGGACCAGACGTTGCATAGTCTATCTTCAGCCTAGTCGTTGTCAACAAAACATAGCACATGGTATATTTGGTAAAACATTTTAGAAAAAAAATTCCATGAGTCATGAGTGACAAAAGCCTTACTGGAAAAATGTCGGAAATTCGGTGCAAAATGGAAGAGAGCACCAGTTTGTAGACTAAGGAATCACTCTTATTGCTGATTACATCATAGAAAGGATTGCATACAGTTGACAAACAGTTACACTTTGCGACCTGACGATAGGTTAGTTTTGCACTCACATCTGCGTGGGTAGATTTATATTTGACGGGTACAGCCATGACTTGTTTTTCCTGCCAGCATTATCTATGCTGTCGCAAAATCCGTTTAACTTTGCAACCGTCTCACTCTAAATACTTTAATCTCTCAAAGTTGGTCGACTACCTTCAAGCGTGTGATGGTGGGTGTCTTTTTCAGTGTATGCATCACGGCCGCCCTTTACGAATTCTCAACTACAGGCGCCAATTACTGTGACTGTTGTGTCGACGTTTATAACCCTGCACAACAGCGAAACCGTTTCAGCGTTATACAGTGCGAAACCGTCAACTGCTTCCGTTACCGTGTCTCATGTTCCACTAAATATTTCCACAAGAGTGAAATCCTATTGTTAGCCTACTACTTTACTGTTCTTATTCTTGTTTAGTGAGAACGGTAATACTCGCACGATGAAGCAAATTAGTCCGTACCTCTTCTTATTTCTTCATGAATTTTTCACGCTCTAACGGACACGAAAACAATTTTTCTTTACACTTTTTATCCATATTGTTCCTGAATACTTCCAATTTTGGAGTGTGACACAACAATATTGATCTTTACTGAACTCTACGCTGAAATGCTTTGTTTCGTTGAAGCTGTTTGTACGTAACCAAAAATAATCAGATGATGCTACTTTCAGTCTGACTAATAGAAGACATCTAACCACATAACGACGTCGCACCGGATACAAAACGGTGACCATCTGCGGTCGTCTTTTTACAATGTGGCAAGGAGGTGGTGAGGCTGAGTATAGTAGTTTGCGGCTCAGTTATACGATGAATAACAGACGTTCACTCATAAGTGTTACCATACTTATCCGTCCCCAGACATACTATATACTTATCCGTTTTTGCGAGTCCCCGGACAATCTACAGTTTCGTCCAGTGCGTTCAATGAACCCTGCGGACAAGTCCTCCGTTCTATTATGATTTTTTTACTGATGAACATTGCTCATCACCAAATAAGAAAGGTACAGTCACTCAGTGATGTCTTTCTTGAATCCGTTCACTCTTAATCCTTTTTTTCTACAGCGACAAGAAAGCCAATGATTTTGAGCTACTCCAAGGTGATTTCTACATGGTCCAACACCATTTTGCACCCCTTTGCTAAGACCATGAAACACCCTTCGTTCAGATTCCTCCAAAAACGTTTGATTAATCTTTGCTGAAATGTCCATACTTTTCGAAACTGAAAGCATGGAGAGAATGTTCTCTGCGTTTTCAAGACAATCTATGTTACTTCAATCAAACCTCTGAACTTCTCACCTATGAAAAATTATTGTAGAATATTGGTCAGCTCAAATGGGCTACAATGTAATTTATAATATACGATGCAAAATTTGCCATTCTACAAAAATTCTTAGTTCACTCAATAAGTTGGTCATCAACGCTCATCTGATGCTCTAGGAGATTAACGAAAGTTCAATTTCCTCAAAATCTGCCCAATGGATCACGGGATCGTATACTATATTTTTGTAGAAAGAGGGGAACATCAATGCGAAGCTTCAAAATGTCAAGTGTGCACCTGGTCGGCAAAAGGCAACATCTGTTACTCCACTAGGAAATGGTTTTGTATGCCCGACAACTCAAGGCCTCGTTGTATGGGAGGAATTCTGGTGAGCAAATGATTTTCAGTTGAAATACAACGTTTCAACGTTTAACGTTGCACCTTTGCTTCAATCTTCGAAGTAAAATGCAGATCAACATGTTGGCAATTTCCTCGTTGTTGAGCTCGCGATGGTAATGTTCCTAATACTCGTTCTATATTGAGCCCTCACAAGAGCATGTTTCTTTTCAGAATGGAACAAGACTCCTCGAGTTTCTTAAAAGCAAGAAGCTGAGTTGTGAGAGTTGATCAGTTCCCCCTGAATCAAATCAGCTGAAACTCAGCTTAAATTCAACATAATGAGGCTTTCATCGCATGAAAGTTTTTGTGTCATAAATATTCATTATGGTAAATGCGGATCAGGGGGCTATAAGATAATTGATAAGATAATCTCTAATCTCGAACACCGATTCAGAATTCTGCTCGTGTACTAGATTCAGATATCTTGGAGCACTACTTCGAGAAATCAAGGGTCATTATCTGTGCTCTTACACTGACTGACATTCATTTTACATGTTTACCATCTTGTTCATGTGATAGGACAGTGTCAGTGTTTTATACTAAGAGGTAAACTTGTGGCCTTTCTTCATCTTCTAGCTATCAGGCTGGTCTCTTTGGGTATGTGCCATTGAGAAGTCGTTGGCTTGTCATTACTTGCCTGCTTGCGGAGTTACATGTGCTTGTCATTGTTTCCAGATAGTCTGTTCGTTGTCAATCACAACATCATCATTTGAACTGAATACAATTCACCAAGAGCTTTTGAACTGGAAAAAGTACCATAGCTTCTGCTTTGGTAACTTCTCGTTAGCAATGGTGCGCCTTCTTCAATCTGTATGTACCTATTGAGAAACTTTTGAACTCGAACAAAACATGTTCTCGGTACTGCTAGTAGTTGGCTCTATGATGCTGAAAATTCTCTGTATCATAAAAACGGAAAATAGTTAGGACCTGTACTACTACCCCTGAAAACCTTTGTATGAAAGAGATACAGCGAATGAACGTTCCCGCTGTTTTGAACGGTTAGTTCGGCTACTGTGTACAACAAAAAAAACAAGAGTAGCAGCATATGCTTGGAACCTCATATTCCGCACACTATGGAATAATGAGACCCTTTCTTCTCACCTCTCAATCACTTACTTACTACAAAGAAGCGTATGAAGTAAAAGCATTTTCTGTGACGTGCATTGCTCCATTGGTGTTGCACATTACATACTGAGTATCATAGCCATGAGTCTACGGTACTGCTTTGTTTCTGTCCTCGTGCACTATTCGTTGACGTGCTTTGACACCGCCCACCACTGCTTTGTTTATTGGTCGGCGTGACACGCCCATCTGAATTGTTACCATTGAGATAAGTGGCGTGTATCAACCTTCATTTGTAAATTATCTCGGCTCTTACAGAGTAGCTCATCTTACATATGGCTAAGTTTTCTATACTAGATCTGTGCCCAGATCTTGTCGATGAGCCTTCACCGAATTCGCGTGAGAAGCTAGAAAGTGAGTTTTTAATTCCTGGTAGTTATCGCGAAGTTTGTTATTGAGAACTTGATTAGACCTCATGAAAAAAGTTAAATAACATTTTGCGTGAAATGTTTAGGACCTGCTTCCATCAAATATTGGTAAGCCTGTTTGAGAGAGAATCAATAACACTCTTAGAACTGTTTACTCAGTTGATGGAAGTTGAGTGGAAAAATATTTGTCCATGATCTAGCTGTAGGTCCAGTTATGCCGAAAACCACTGTCAGTAATGTCGGCGACAACTACACTGATGATGGCATCGAGGAAGGTCCTTCAGAGCGTAGTGAGAGCTCCAACGTAAGGATACTACTCTCTACGACAGTTAAATTTATCGATTATTGTTCATCAAAGCTATTAATCAAGAACTGGTGCTAATTGAAAGACTCAGCAAAATCGCTCTAAATGAAATTTAAGGACAGCAGCAAGAACTCCACCAGGAACGCTAAGCCACCATTCTCATACAACGCTCTTATCATGATGGCGATTAAAAGCAGCAGTGAAAAACGGTAATATCAGAGGATTAAGAAGTGTTCCTAAGAAAATCACCTCGTTTTCAGTCTGACACTATCGGGGATTTACGACTTCATTATGACCAATTATCCCTTTTATCGAGAGAATAAACAAGGCTGGCAGAATTCCATTCGCCACAATTTATCATTGAACAAGTGCTTTGTGAAAGTACCACGAAGTTTCGATGATCCTGGGAAAGGTGCTCGGAATAGATTGTCTTGTTTGAAATAATATAGCTGAATGTTCAACAATTTGAGTGCATTCCGTGATGTGCAAGCATTCCATTCGTTAGGTTTTTAGGAAAAACTACGAGTAAACAACTTATTACAGGAAACTACTGGATGTTGGATGCATCATGCGAAGATGAGGTATTCATTGGTGGCGCTACTGGCAAGTTGCGACGTCGTCCATCTACAATGAGTCGTGTTAGAATGGACGCATTCAGGCAGTACGGCGCAGCGGCCGCGCTATTCCCGTCCTACAGACCTCTTACAATTCCTCGTACTACATCTCACCACCCTCCGTTTTCGTTGCGTCCCCTACTACAGTTGCCGAGTATTTGCGCTCACACCGACCTAATAAATCTCTGTTTGACCCAACAACAGCAACAGGATGTTCTAAAGAGATTTTGAACAGCTTCTCTTCAAGAGCATATTAGCCAAATTGCGGGTCGGCTTGGATATCCAGGTTAGGTCGTGACATGAATATATATATATATAAATAATATATATATTTATAGAGAGAAAGAAAGTTGAGAAGGAGGAGAAAAGAGAGAAAGGGGATTTGTGTATTGTGTGTGTAATAAAGTGTATTTGATATTTGTTTATCCCACAGCTCGTCGTTGGGAATGGTATGTCGCTGATACTGAGATGACCGACAGACCCAACCCTTTGTTTTGGGTATTGTCAAGTGCCCCTTTTATCCGACCGCGTGGAATGAAAGTATTTACGCGTACAGATATATATATATATATATATATATATATATATATATATATATATATATATATATATATATATATATATATATATATATATACGTACGTTCGATTTTGCATGCATAGTAGTGTGAATGTGCATCCAGGAGACAGTTGATCAAGAGGTGAGCAGCGGACATTTACCACGGAAATGTATCGGTTCTTAATTCTACTGCTTGATCAATCACTCCTACCATGACCTTCTCATGTGTGATGCCGCTTGGGTTTCTTGGAGCTTACAATGGGTCATGTTACCGTATGTTTAATTCTATCGCTGGCTATGATAGTTCTAGATGTAGTGAAATAAACTTTTGCTGCAATCGTTTAATTTTCTGAAGGAGTTGCCGGAAATAGGCTGATTATCATAGGAGTCCAGTAATAAGTATAATGCCAAGAAATAAGTAAGCGCGGAAGTCGGTGATGACGTTCTCACTCAAAGGTTTACAATAATTATTCAAATAATTTCGAACCTGCTCGTTTAGCAAACCTAGGACGCAACCGAGACATTGTACTCTGATTCCAGTCGTAATACTCTTATGAAGCAGGTCAATTAGACAATGTTCTGTGCACTTATTTCTCTGATTTATCCATATTCTCTACAATAATCCTAGTGACAGTGACCATTTTGCACTTTGACAGTTAGAAGCTACAGCTTTAACGTTGTGCGATTACTATTACAACGTATACTGTATGCCTATGAATGCCATTGAGCTAATCAGATACTTGATAATTACCTGTTGAAGATGACCTCATAATAGTAGCGTAATATTATATTGAGATTAGAGTGAAGAGGGATGCCAGACGAATATTGTAGTGTCGAACTCTCGTACACCTGTCTTCTTGATGAGAGGCTGTGCCGACTGCATCAGCAGTGGCGGTCGTAATAACGGCGATTTAATCCGTTTTGCTAACATCCACTAAATCGAGGAATCCTCAACGGTCAAACGTTATCGTTTTTGGACACATTATCCACTTCACTTGGGAACCACACTGCGTCTATTATAGGTAACTGTCTATAAAGACGTTGGTTTGAATAGGAGCCTATAAAGGTCTTATATCCAACAAACAGATAGTCTTCCCCTGTTTCATCATCTAGTGCACACAACATGAATCATCATCACATCCCATTATCTCATTTTTTCAAGATGACCAATGCTATGGTAATGGGAATCCGAGGTTGACTCTCAGTACGTTGGTGACTCCGTGGCTCGCTTCCGCTCTTGGTGTGTAACTGAATTCGGGAACGGATGAATGATAGGCCAGTCAGTTTTTGATTGACAGCAGCTCAACAGGTGCCTCTTTTGCTATGCTCTCCACACGTCATAAACACAGTGAAAGCAGTATCATTCATCTAATTGCAATTTGGGATGATCTCGGCCCGGTTTCGGAGCGTGAAGCAGAGCAAGTCTTGGAGTGCTTGAAAATGTTCTTGTCGCAAGTTGCCCAATGTGTATTCGATTGTTTTAGCTTATGTATCATCAAGTGCGGTTATTTCGCCGCAGTACGCGATCCAAAAGTCTTACAAGGCTGGTGTGTTGAGGACACAAAACTTCGGTATCAAACAACATTGACCACAACTCGCCAAACATGTCAGCATTTCCGTGTGTTGTTTGCCCTGCATATTTTTCATGCTTGAGATGATATTTCTGTCTAAAAGCTCGATACTGTGATGTCACTGTAGACGTTAGTTAAAATTACAGAGATTGTTCAGCGAATATAAAAACCAACACTGAAAATCCTCCCACAAGGACCAGTCCGAACCTTAAGGCTTCTCGTTGCTATGTTTTTAATTTTTCGTGGGCATTGAAGGCACAGTTCCCGATAATTTTGAGGTATCCTTTTTTAGTTGAAAAATGGAAGTAGAGGTTGAAAATAGTGCATCTGTGGCAGAAAAGTCAGAAAATTCGCCGACTCTGTGAGGTAGAAGGCTTCTTCAAAGTGGGTGGTGGAAATGGAGGTTGTATGAGATCTCCATAACGAATATGACGGAAGTGGTATTCGGACAAGTTTTTATACTTGCAATTAAAAAAAAGAAGATAGCAAGAGCTGACTACTTCAAGCCAAAACTGTCTAAAACTGCCTTCCACTATCGCAGCTGGTTACGACAATTTGTTTGCACTCTCTATATGGGTGTATGGGTATCCCTTGTAAACGGTGCAGTCCTTACAATGTCCCTACAGTGTCGTTTAGTCTCGTCCACATTCGGCGTGACACTCAGCTGATACCGTCTCTGAGCCCTTGTGATGCCTTATCTAGCCCGTTTTTCGATCTGACAGCTTCTCATATGCAATACAGGGGCCACAGATTCATCCTAGGGATATATCTCAGGAAATTTTTTATCTTCAAGGGACTAGCAATAGCTCAACATCATTAAAAAATCTTTTCCTCGACTAGGGATCTCTGAGATTTTGCTGAGAGCCTTGCGAACCACAGCAGTTCGTTCGCCCTTGACATTTCGATTCTAACAGGAGAGGAGGCTAGAATGCTCATTCGCTATGATTGTTTATGAGAAGTGCTTGGCATTGCTCACATTCTGCGACCTTTGTTATAGAATTAATGATCTTTGACGGGGATTAATTCGAGAACAGAGAGGATTAACATAACATCTTACGGTAGAGATAAATTTCCGAACGAGGACACATTGTGAATAGCTGCTTTCCTTTATATTTATCATCGAGTGATTTGCAAGGTTCGCAACAAAGTGCATAAGGGCTGGCGGATGAACACATTCAGCGAGCGTATTTTCCTTGTCGTGATATCAGCTCATTTTGTAGGATTTTTGATTGTAATAAAACATACTTTCATTAAACGAGAGTGGAACAGTTCAGACATGTTACATGTTTGCTAGTCATAAAAAGCTGTTCCTTACAAATCACTCAATGATATAACGGGCATGAAAGAGTCTTTAAAGTTATTGATGAATGTCTATGGGAGCTCACCCACCTCATAGGTCTCTTGCAGAGGAAATTGTCATACTTTGTCGATTGTTGCAAACTAGGAGAGGGAGCGAGCTAAGTTAGCGGTTGCACAGGTTGAGGCATCACAAACTTATCCACCTTCTTGATGAATATGTAGTTGGGAGTCTTCTTTGCGAAGTTCGAAATATACTTCAATTATATACACATGTGTTTCAACTCCTCGAAGTCAATGCGAAAATCTCTAACAAGGGAAGGATACTTGGTGGCAGTGGCCAATGAAGATGAGGTGTAAATTCCCGTAGGTGATATCAAATCTGTATTCCAAATCTGCTATACGATTCTGGGAACAAAGTTACGGGACCGATGCTCCCCTGTGTTATACCACGGTAGCAAACGGATCACCCAGCCGAAAAAAGCCGTAAAAGGAAAAAAGCGTGCAACGGTGACGCAGATGATAGGAAGGTGGACTGATAGGCATGACATCAAGCTTCGTTTCCTTGATACATGCGCTCGATTTGCTTTTCCATGAAAGTCCTGAACGCTTGCAAAACGTTATTTTGGCTCAATGTTCGGATTTACGGAGCTCCCCATGGAACTTATTAACGCTGAAAAGGTATTACAAAGAAAGTTCTTTCTGCTCCTCACAAGCCGAATAAGAGTGGAGCTGAATTCGAGCAGAAGAGGAATTCTAAACAATTGTTAAAAATGGGCTCAAGAGGCCTCTAGGAGAAAGGTCCCAAATGATTCACCGGATCAAATGCTCCTCAACATGTCTTCTGACCAATTTTGGTGTCATCATATTTGATTGAGGACTTTCGTTCTTGCAGCATAACGTGGGCACCATCTAGGAAGAGGCGGCAATGAAGAGCTTTCGAACCATCTCCCCGATGCTGTGGGAATAAGCCCGTTATCCTTCGCGAGGAAGTCGAGTTGTGAAAGGCGATCACAGTGATCCTCTGAGGTCGTCTGATGAGGACAGCGACGATGCCCGAAATTTCGCGAAAGAAACCTCGTACGTTGGTGGGGACATAGAGATTCCGAAGTGGAACGCAGCATAAATAAGTTCCATAGAGAGCTCCGTAAATCCCAAGATTGAGCCAAAATAACGTTTTGCAGGCGTTCAGGACTTTCATGGAAAGCAAATCGAGTGCATGCATCAAGGAAACGAACCTTGATGTCATGCCACCTTCCTATCAGCTGCGTCACCGTTGCACGCTTCTTTCCTTTTACGGCGCTTTTTCGGCTAGGTGATCCGTTCGTTACAAATCTGATGAGGCGCTACCCAAGTATCACGAAAAAGGGTTCTCCTCCCCGAACGGCGTGCAGCGCTGGCTGCATCCTGTCGCGCGCAATTGCTCTCTGGGGAAGGGGATTCCATTTCGTAAGAAGAGAAGTTCAAGCAGCACTACTGTCGCCTGCCTCGGGAGTTCGGGTGAAAATATTGCCGCCGAAGTAGCACCACCATCATGCATTTCGAACAACCACTCCTCGAAGTCTTACTTAATGGCTTCCAGTGCGGGTAATTGGCTTTTTCAAGCTACGAAACTTGCTTTGAAAAAATGTCAGCATATAATACTATTTCTAAATCTACATATATATATCTGTTCCTTTTTCCATGTTCTATTCTGAACGAATTCCGCCTTTGAACACTGCAGTCTGTTTATACTGTGCTCACCGCAGAAGGACACGACATGCTAGTTATATATTTAAGTCCCCTTGGTCTACTACTGAGTACTGAATCATCAGTAGAAAGGTGTAATAATTTTAATAGTAATCCATCACCTAAAATACTTGTGAGACCTTGTACAACTATTCTTGATTACCTTCGTGTTTGCTAAAAATTTTTGCCTGCCTTTCAGATCACTGTTCGCATTAGTAACGTTCTAAAAGATTTCTACCGACCATGAGCAAAGCGAGCATTGGTCATTGGTGTAACTGTAACTGGTATGCAATTGTAATTGTCATTCAACATCCTTGGAAGATAATGAGATGGAGCTCATTTCTCACTCATATCTTGTGAAATAATAAACGACTTGCAGAAGCTGAATCTGTGTGACTCGCAGTTCCAAGCTTACCAGGNCCCTTGGTCTACTACTGAGTACTGAATCATCAGTAGAAAGGTGTAATAATTTTAATAGTAATCCATCACCTAAAATACTTGTGAGACCTTGTACAACTATTCTTGATTACCTTCGTGTTTGCTAAAAATTTTTGCCTGCCTTTCAGATCACTGTTCGCATTAGTAACGTTCTAAAAGATTTCTACCGACCATGAGCAAAGCGAGCATTGGTCATTGGTGTAACTGTAACTGGTATGCAATTGTAATTGTCATTCAACATCCTTGGAAGATAATGAGATGGAGCTCATTTCTCACTCATATCTTGTGAAATAATAAACGACTTGCAGAAGCTGAATCTGTGTGACTCGCAGTTCCAAGCTTACCAGGCATAAAATCGACTTACAAGAAAGGATATTCGGTTGCAGTAGCCATTTAAAATGAGATGTATACCGCCGTAGGTGGTATTTAACGCTGTTATTAAATATGTGTTCCAAACCTGCTAAACGATAGCGAACGAAGTTACGGGACCGATGCCTCCCTGTGTTATACCAAGGTAACGAACGGATCACCGAGCCGAACAAAGACGTAACTGTGCAACGGTGGCGCAGCTGATAGCATGATGAATGATAGGCATGACATCAAGGTTGAATTCCTTGATGCATGTGCTCGTTTTGCTTTTCCTTGAAATGCGTCCTAAACGCTTGCGAAACGTTTTCGGGTCTAATATTTTGCATCTACGAAGCTCCCTCACAGTTTAGGATTCTGGGGAATAGCAATCCGATAAAAAAATTTACCACACCTGATCTGGAGCTCCAATTTCTTGGCGCTGGTGGAAGAGTCCATAACCTCCTTAAGTCCGAGTTCAAAAGAACCGCACCGCCTCAAACATGGGTAAAAAGTTTTGTGTCATGACGACAGAGTGCCGTCTACGGGGATTAGGAGGACAGGAACTTTTGGATTAGTCTATTATTGAAACATTACGGTGCTTTATGTGGTCGCAACTATCAGGTGCAAAACAAGCGCACCGATCTGCCTACTATGGAGATTAGCGGATAAACTGGAAGGATAAGTAATCATAAAATTTACCTAGGAGTCCCATCACATAACAGTCATTTCTACTGGATACCGTTTCAAATCATCATTGAAGCTCCATAGGGGACAACTTCAAAGCAAGTCGTTGGTGGATTCCAGGTTTTGAGTACAGCCATGTTATCATGCCCAACCGCACCACCGCGTTTACCTCTTCAAAGGGTCTCTTGAAAGGGCACTTACCTTAAGAACAGAATTAGCGGATAATCGTATGCGCACAAAAACCGATAAATTATTGTTCTGCAATATTTTTTCAACGATGCCAGTTAACTTGGGCCACCGCTTCGAAAGCGCGGACAGTATTCTTAGAATTTTTGGACTGTAACCCTCCCAGAGAGGGCTGTGGTCGCATGAGTCATTCGACCGCCGTCTACCGTAAGTGGGGAGCTGCCAAAGATTCTGAAACACCATAATGAATGTTCGAGGTAGAGAGGCGTACAAGCATAGTCAGTGAGTTGTGGTAAAAATTTTATATCAATTTGCTATTCCCCACAATCCTAAACTGTGAGGGAGCTCCGTAGATGCAAAGTATTAGACCCGAAAACGCTTCGCAAGCGTTCAGGACGCATTTCATGGAAAAGCAAAACGAGCACATGCATCAAGGAATTAAACCTTGATGTCATGCCTACCAGTCATCATGCTATCAGCTGCGCCACCGTTGCACAGTTACGTCTTTGTTCGGCTCGGTGATATAACACAGGGAGGCATCGGTCCCGTAACTTTGTTCGCAATCGTTTAGCAGATTTGGAACACATATTTAATATCAGCGTTAAATACCACCTACGGCGGTATACATCCCATTTTAAATGGCTACTGCAACTGAATATCCTTCCCTTGTAAGTCGATTTTATGCCTGGTAAGCTTGGAACTGCGAGTCACACAGATTCAGCTTTTGCAAGTCGTTTATTATTTCACAAGATATGAGTGAGAAATGAGCTCCATCTCATTATCTTCCAAGGATGTTGAATGACAATTACAATTGCATACCAGTTACAGTTACACCAATAACCAATGCTCGCTTTGCTCATGGTCGGTAGAAATCTTTTAAAACGTTACTAATGCGAACAGTGATCTGAAAGGCAGGCAAAAATTTTTAGCAAACACGAAGGTAATCAAGAATAGTTGTACAAGGTCTCACAAGTATTTCAGGTGATGGATTACTATTAAAATTATTACACCTTTCTACTGATGTTTCAGTACTCAGTAGTAGACCAAGGGGACTGAAATATATAACTAGCATGTCGTGCCCTTCTGCGGTGAGCACAGTATAAACAGACTGCAGTGTTCAAAGGCGAACTCGTTCAGAATAGAACATGGAAAAAGGAACAGAGATATATCCGCTCATGATAAAAACTTGATGGAAATTGAGTTGGCATAGCGAACAGGCGAACGTTATCACAAAGACATTGAAAGCTAATTCAGTCGTAGATTTAGAAATAGAATTATATGCAGACATTTTTTCAAAGCAGGTTTCGTAGCTTGAAAAAGCCAATTACATGTACTGAAAGCCATTAAGTAAGACTTCGAGGAGTGGTTGTTCGAAATGCATGATGGTGGTGCTACTTCGGCGGCAATATTTTCACCCGAACTCCCGAGGCAGGCGACAGTAGTGCTGCTTGAACTTCTCTTCTTACGAAATGGAATCCACTTCCCCAGAGAGCAACTGCGCGCGACAAGATGCAGCCACGCTGCACGCCGTTCGGGTAGGAGAACCCTTTTTCGTGGTACTTGAGTAGCGCTATACATTCATCAGATTTGAGGGGTCTTATTCGTGACAGTGAATTACGTTGAACGTCGTCAATAACTACCTCAGCACGGAAGCACACAAGCGCTGCCAAGCATAAATCGTAAGCGAAAGCATTCATATGAGCCCTCAGCTATCTGTGGGATGCAGTATGATGTTACTGATCATAAAGTGGTTCTAGGTCGAATTTGGTATATTAAAGTCTTCACTTTCCTTCTCTATTGTTAATCTCGTTTGAATATCTCTCACAAATATGTAAACTACGAGATCAGAATGTTGAAAAAGGTGGTAAGTTCTGATGAAAATTCTCTCCCTTAGGATACACTTTAGTGACGCTATAATTTTTACCAGCTCGTGAATGTGACTAATAGTTCAGTAGTACAGCATATTTTACACCGTTCGCTTAGAACAGGAATCCTCCGTTCGCGAGACGCAGATTGTCATGGATGTGCAGAAATTCGGAGCAGAGTCGATACTGTATTTTTGGATACGTTTTTACGTGGGACGTAATCCAGTAGGTTCCCAACAAAGTCTTCGATGAGTTAGAACCAATGAACTGATTCTGAGACTTTTATTACCCTAAAATTCCATAGATAAGAGCGGTTTGTGCTAGAAAATGAAAATTGTCCTTTGTATACGTTTTTTGGCGTTGTGTGCTCATGATTATCGCAATAATAGCCCACAACTCTAGCTTTATTCTTACTGTTTTCTAAACTCTTTCTATCCTGTATCACCTGCTATGACTGCTTTCATAGTCCGCCGACCGGCCGGCCGACGCGCCACGAGGCAGTGCTAGGGGGAGGAGGGCGGCAGACGGACAGTCAGCCGTCGAAGGGCTGTAAACAAGGAGAAACAAGATGAAAAACGATTTGTACGAGCCCCTGGTTGTTTGCTTTTTGATCTTGTCCTTCTTTGTTTTCACCCCTTCGACCAACCGTCTGCCGCCCTCCTCTCCCCTAGCACTGCCTCGTGGCGGACTATGAAAGCAGTCTATGAAACGTCGTAAAACGTATACAGCAGCTTTCAAGCTAAACGCCGTCAAGTATCGTGATTTGCATGGAATCTTGGCAGCGGCTAATCATTTTGGAGTCACTGAAGCAATGATAAGAAGGTGGGTTGTTGATCGACGAAATCTTCAAGAGATGCCAGCAATGAAAAGAGCCCGACGATACAAAAAACCAAGCGTTGAAGAAGTTCAATATGCCATCCCGACTAGATTGTCAAAAAACGAGAAGAAAGTAGAGCTGTCACGGTGAAAGAAATAAGGAACAAAGCAAAGGAATTAGCAGAAGAGCAT